AAACCGTCTCTTGACCCAGATGACTTGGTCAATTATAGACCTATATCCAATTTTGCTGGACATTGTTACAACATAAACTTGTAATTTTATGGTGTACTGTGAAAGTAATGTAGAAGTTAATAGTAATTTAGTGTGAATTTACAACTGTAATTGTATGTTGTGTTAAATTTTGACCACCAATTTACTGTAACAATAATGCAAACAAATTAATTTACTATGAATTTAAAATCATTGTACAATTACCTCCCACCCCCAACAAAAAAAAAACTCTGGGGTAAGATCAATGTTAGCTCAGTGGCTATTGTTTTTTTTTTTTTTTTGTTTGTTTTTTTTACAAAAAACAATAAAAAATACTGTTTAAAAATAGAAAGCTGGCTCCTTGGTTTAATGCAGAGCTGCGCACTTTGAAGCAAAATGGTAGAGAAAATATCGCTCCACAGGCCTATGGGAATCTTACCTAGTCTGGAAAAACAGGTTACTGTTATATAAGAGGACCCTTTGTAAAGCAAGGGCAGCATTTTTCTCCTCATTGATAGAGAATGAGAATAATCTTAGATTTCTTTTTAATAAAGTTGCCAAACTAACCCAGAGCCATAGCTTAGTTGAAACGTCCATTCCACCTGCTCTTAGCAGTAATGATTTTATGGGATTTTTTTATAAATAAGATTGATCTTATTAAAAATAAGATCATTAGCACTCCTCTATCCGCAATTGGTTTGTCTCTGGAGGATGGGATAGCATCTGAGGTAGTCATGAAATCTGAACCGGGTTTAGACTGCTTTGATCCAGTTGAACTTTGAGTTAGCAAAACTTTTGTCTTCATCTAAGCCTTAACTTGTATGATAGATCCAACCAGGTTATCTAGGGAGGTATTCCCTTTGATCTCCTCCTCCATTTTAGGTGTGATTAATCTCTGTTACAGGGATATGTACCAAAGTTTTTTAAGGTTGCTGTAATTAAACCTTTGCTTAAGTAACTGTCTCTTGACCCAGATGACTTGGTCAATTATAGACCTATATAAAATCTTCCTTTCTTATCTAAAATTCTTGAGAAAGTAGTTGCCAAACAAGTTTGCAATCACTTACACCATAATGAACTTTTTGAAGAGCTTCAGTCTGGCATTAGAGCTCATCATAGCACTGAAACAGCTCTGGTGAAAGTCACTAATGATATTCTCATGGCCTCAGATAATAGACTTGTATCTTTGCTCATCCTGTTGGATCTCAGTGCTGCATTTGATACAGTTGACCAAAATATTCTTTTAGAAAGACTTGAATATTTTGTTGGAATTAAAGGAACAGCACTAGACTGGATTCAATCTTATCTATCTGATCNTAGCAGAAGAGTTGCGGATCGGAGGCCTTTTAGGATAAACTTTGGATGCTAATTGGCATGTGTGGAGGTGTGGTTCAAAGCTGATTGTCTGTGTCATAGACGGATGAAGGCGAGTAATCAGTTTATGCAGTTGAACTTCCGCCTAGGCTCCATAATCATTGCCTAAGATAAACTTTTATTTGAACTTGTACTGCTAGATCCCAATGCTGGATTTGATACATTCTATCATAATATTCTTTCGGAAAGATATGGACGTTCTGTATGGATTAAAGGAACAGCACTTGGCTTGCATAAGACTAATTTATCTGAAAGGTTTCAGTTTGTTCAAGCTAATGATAAATCATTTACATGCTCCAGAGTTATGTCCAGAAATCCTGAGGAAACTAACCCCTATCAAAGACTACAGGCATGTCTTCAATACATAAAAAAAACCTATATGACTTAACTTTCTGCTCATAATTGGAGAAAAAACAGAAGTTATTGTATTTGAACCAGAGTTAGTCACCTCATCTTGAAGGGAATAAATTGATATCAGACAATAAAGTTCATCACTCTGCTTCCTTCTGTATCCTCTCTCTTTCATTCCTTAAACATGTAACCTGACTAAGTGCTCATCTACCCACTGTTTCTTTTCAAGATTGAGCCACCTGTTGAGCTAGTTACTCTTGCTATATCTACCATAGAAAGTATTTATACATATTTATACATACAGCGCTTCTATGTTTGTTCAGTATGTCAGCTTCTGTCTCTTTTAACGTCCAGTCGGACAGACACACTGTTATCAATATTGCTATTTCCCTTGTCTGTCTTGATTCTCTTTTTTTTTGTCAATCCCCACCATGTCACATGTCAACATGAAGTTTTAAAAGCTATCCTTGTTGGGGGCGACAGTAGCATTGAATTCAGGATTTTTCCTTTCAACAAAAGGGTCACCAGTCAAACTCCAACTTTGACTTTCGGTGTCATTGTGTCTTTGGGCATGACACATCACCCACATTGCATACAGATGGTTGTCAGAAGGTGTTGTGGTGCCCGTGTACGGCAGCCTTGCTTCAGTAAGCCACAGTGCAGCTATAGCTACGTTGTAGCTAGTCATCATCTGTTCAGGGGACTGGTTTCCTAGTGGTTAGAGCCTTGTCCTTGGGACTCGGAGGTTCTGAGTTCAAGTCCCACACACTCCCAAGGACTACCACTCTGGTATACATGCATGAAAAGGTACATACTGAATATGTAAGTGCCATACAATTAAACGGCATATCAGCTACACTGAAAACATTTTACTGCTAATTTTCATTAGCAGTAAATTAGCATTGGATATGTTTTGCATGACTTTCACAGTAAAGATTACAGCAGTAAACTGTGAAATATACTCACAGCAAATTACTGTAATTTCATATCTGTGATATTACAATGCTTTATTGTAAAAGCACTATATACCATAATTCTATAGCTTGAACGACAAAGATATTGTGATATTACAGTACATTAGTTGTGAATTACAGCATTTTGCTGGACATTGTTACAATATAAACTTGTAATTTTACAGTGTACTGTGAAAGTAATGTAGAAGTTGATAGTAATTTAGTGTAGATTTACAACTGTAATTGTATGTTGTGTTAAATTTGACCAGCAATTTACTGTGACAATAATGCAAACAAATTAATTTACTATGAATTTACAATCATTGTACAATTACGTCCCACCTCCAAGCAAAAAAATCTGAGGTAAGATCAATGAATACCGTTAAAAATATATATGTGTA